GCCCTAGGGTTTTTAAAATTTTTTTATTGATACATAGATTTGAGGTCATTTTTATATAGCATGCGTGTAGTAATCATATTACCGATTTATTAACGTGGTTTTCTTATTTATATATAAAACTGAATTGTCAGTATTTTAATTGTGTATTGTCATAAAAAGCACTGACTTCCGGGTCTATTGCTAATTGAACAAATAAATTATGGACGTGGGATTTTTAGTTCTGTTTACAAGGAGTGTTTGATCGGCACTTTCCATCTTGCACAGAGTGGATGAAGCTCAGACCTCATGTATGTGCAGATGCTTGAGCATGGCGCCGGGCCTCTGGGTGCTCCCCTGAGTAATGGCTGCGTGCTGGACAGCAATGGGAGTAATGATATTTTTTTTTTTTTCCTTTAATTCGTCAGCCAGAGATTGGAGGCAGCAGCTGGAAATGGCTCTTCCCAGTCAAGGTGGCAGGGAATTCCGGCTTGCCTGTGGCAGGCCCAAGAGCCACGGGAGGAAAAAACGTCTCTGTCCATTCTGTCTGCCTTTGCTACAGATGAAACGGACCGTGGGGTGGACCAGCAAGATGGAAAGCACCACACCGGATCCTCTGAGTGCGAGGAGAGCGACGCCAGCAGGGAGGAGTTGCTGAAGACCCGACTGCCCACGCGCTCAGACATGATCTGTGGCTATGCCTGCCTCAGAGGTACTCGGGGGCCCCAGAGGGAAGCCCGACCCGCGCTCCCGGAGACGCGCACCTTCCCTCCCCCACCCCCCCCACCTCCAGGCTCTGTGAAGGGGGAGGGTACGGGGTGCCGTGGAAGTCGAGTTTGGGTCGTCCAGCCACGTGAGCCGTGCCGTGACCTTCACACTGGGGGGGTCTCCGTCCTTGTTGCAGGCACTGCCGCCATGCGGAACACCAAACGGGGTTCGTGGTACATTGAGGCCCTCACCCAGGTGTTCTCTGAGAGGGCTTGTGACATGCACGTGGCTGACATGCTCGTGAAGGTCAGTCGCCTCCTTTGGGCTCCGTCTGCTTGGGTTCCACCCTCCGCCCTGCCCTTGTCTGTCGTCATCTCTCCAGCCTGCCTCTCACGCCCAGAGGCTCAGCCTGGGCACCGTGGGATTCTGTCTTTGCAGGTGAACGCGCTCATCAAGGAGCGTGAGGGCTACGCCCCTGGCACGGAGTTCCACCGCTGCAAGGAGATGTCCGAGTACTGCAGTACCCTGTGCCGCCACCTCTACCTGTTCCCGGGCCACCCTCCCACGTGACGCCGTCCCCACAGCCCTGCCGCGTGGAGGCCTGATGGGGCCTCTCCTCTTCTGGCGCACGGTTTCTCTTCCCCCTCAGGGATTGGGAACCTTGGGGCTTGTGGAGCACGCCTGGGCACGCCGGGCCACAGGCCAGTCCCTCCTGTGGCGGCTCCCTCCCTGCAGAGCTGGCCCTGGCCCGACCGGCTGCGACAGCAGAGCAGCCTGGCCGATGATGTTGCGAACACAGCGTCTTTATGGGGAGAGGGCATGCGGGTTTCCCGCTGCTTGTGTTCGCTCCCTGGCCCTAGGGCTTTGGTAGACAGCACTTTGGTAATTGCTTCTATTACGTTAGCCAGGACGTTTCAGAGACCGTCTCCTGTCTTTTTTTTCCTTTCATATTCCAACCCCATTTATCCCAGACTGAGAGTTCGGAAGGTGTCCTGATTCAACGTAGACGTTTTTCATTTTGCCTCAAAAGGGCCAGCAGGACTGGTGGTACACTGCTGCTGCGGATGTGGTCGGGACCACAAGGCTACCCAGTGGAAGGCCGGGGTTCTCCGCTCCACAGTTGGCTCCTCTGGGCTCGAGGAATCCAGCCTCTCAGCAGGTTACAGCTTGGATACCTTATACCTGGAACTCGTTGATCTTTGCCCAGGGAAGTTCCAGAGTTTTCTTAATCAGTTTCTCTCTCGGTTTGTTTACTGAGATGAACCTCAGCAGAGAGTGTTAGCAGAGGCAGATAAGAGTGGTATGCTTCCTCATACTCTGTAACCTGTCACCTTATCTTTTGCTTCCTCTGAAATGTCCTTTTCTAAAAAAGCATCCTCGTAGTTATCTCCCTACTTCCTGTTTCTCCCCTTTCACCTTCATCTCATCCTGGTTACTGCTGCCACCAGATCTGTCTAAAATACTACTTAATTGGATCATTCGGCTGCTCACGGATATCATGTAGTAGCTTGTTCCTGCTTTCTGTTTCAGTATTAAATCCCCTTTTGATTTTATATGGCCTGTTTTCCCTTCTCCCGGGTCTCCATCTGAGGCTGTCACGGTATGTGCTGTATCCCCTAGAAGCTTTCTGTATCTGTGCCATACATTGTGCTTTTCCTGTTCTTCAGGGACTTCTCTTGTTCTTCCATTCTTGCCCCCGCCAATCTAATCTCTATATGACAGATTTTGGTTTGGGGTTTTTAAATACAAATCTGATCATGTCACTCCCCTGCTAAGATTTTTGTTACACCTGAAGTAATGTGCAAACTCCTAACCTACCTTCCCCTTGAACCTCATTAAAGGCTGATTTCCCTCTAAGTGATTGCCCTGGTGCCATCCTCAGTTTCTCAAACATTCTGAGCTCTTTCCTGCCCTGGACCATCGCAGATACTCTCCTAGGGTCTACTGAGCTCCATTCCTCACAACTTTTAGCTTAAATGCCACCTTGTGGAGGCCTTCCTAGGCCATTCTATCTCTAACTAATCTTCCATGTTTCTTTATTACTCTGTCCTGTTTGATTTCTTCATTGCACTTAGCATGATTTATAATCACATATTTGCTTGCTTCATTTGTTCATTTCTGTTTCCCCTACTAGGGTGTAAGCTCCCTGAGGATAGAAACCTTGTCTCTTTGTCTCTTTGGTTCACCAATATATACCCAGTGCCTGGCACATGGTAGGTCTTCAGTAAATGTTTTTGGGTGAAGGAAGGAAGAAAGCAACCCTAGCTAGAATCCTACTTCTGGACAAAATTTCCCTTAAACAATATACACAGTTTAGTATTTATACTCTAGGTTTTTCTGTGTGTTTTGTTTTATGCACTGATAACTACTAGCTCATGAAGACAGATGTCGTGTGTCAAACACTGTCTTCTGCATCTCCCATGGTCCCTGGCACGTGCTCAGCCTGTAGTAGTTGAGGTGCTCAATAATACTTGTTCTGTGAGCCGGGCGGGGGGGTTGGAGACTTGGTGCTGAGTCCTGCCCTTGGGTCAGTATCATATGGAAGTATTTAGGTGATAGAACGTTTCCATTTCCCACTGCCAGGATTTTATATTGCCTTCAGGTGCCAAATAAATGCTCATATTTATTGCTGATGTGTGCCTGACATCTCTTTTTCCACAGATAATTTTGTGAAGCTCACATATTCTCATTTGCTTGGCCCCTTACAGCATTCCTCACCACCTCCCAAGGTGTACCCAGAGCTGAACACCCTTCCTTTGCTGCCATAATGTTTGTTACATATAAAGGTGGGGGCCCATCTCAGATGTCGTGGTCACAGGTAACTACCCAAAATATAGCTGGCATACTGGGATTTCTCAAGTCAGAGGAGATCTAAGAGTCATTAGCAAGCAGTGTTGGTTCTGGATTATGTAAATTAGGGGATGGAGGCTGGAGAAAAGAGATTGGGCTGGAATTGGAGGGTGGTGAGGATTATAGAATCTACATGGTCCCAAGTTGGATTTAAGGTTTTCTAGAGTGGACATGGACTGTAAGAGAACTCAGAGCAGCGTGAAAGAGATCTAAGCAGTGGGCTCTGTAGGTTGGGAAATTCTTGGGGTGCAATATGTCCAAAGTGTGTGCCTGGAGAGGTGAGTGTGCAAGTGCATGTGGGCCATGGAGGCTTAGCAAGAGATGGGAAATTCTGTAGAACATCTTGGTACAGGAAGCATCGGTGGGACCTGGGGGAAAGTGGTTGGGAGATACGGAGGAGGAGGAAGACAAAAAGGGATTAAGTTGAGCTGAAGCATATCAGCAAGTGGCGGGAGGAGAATTGGCTGAAGAACACAGGCAAGGCGTGAAAAGCCTGCTGACGCTGCTTGGCTGCAGGAGAAAGCAGGGGCTGTCCTCAGGGGAGGGAGAGATGCAAAGTCTCGAAGAGGTTAAGATACTACTGGAGCCGTGGGAGTAAGCAAAGTGCCCATTTCCAGGATAGGCAAGCTTTCTGGAGGTGTGGTATGTTTGGGAATTACAGAGCGAGGCCCTGGTTTCTGACCCAGATTGTGTGTCCTACCCACCCCGCCCTTGAATGAGAGTATCAGGTTGAATTTCATAGCTCTCTTCCCTTCCCCCCTGCTACCTCTGCGAGGGATTCTCTGCTAAAATTATCCCCTTCCCTGAGCTGGGGGCTGCCCTTCTCTGCTGCTCTCCTCCCTCCTGCTTCCTGTAAGAGGGAAGAGGAAACGCAGGCCAAGAGAGTAGAGCCGTGATTCGAGGGGCGGGCAGGGCAGGTGTCTGGTCAGAGGAGGAACGTGGTAATGATGGCCACAGCCGAGGGAGCACTTGCCCCCTCCCTGTGGGCCCACAAGCTAGTCATTTTCCTGGTGGTTGTATTTTTTTTCAGAAGAGGGAAATGAGGCTCAAAGACTTCAAATACACAAAAAAGTTAGAAATATAGCTTTAAGGCCATGAACTCTAGAATTAAATACATTTTGAATGCTGGCTCAGCCTTTTGAGATACTGGGAGAGCTTGGCTAAGGTACCTAACCTCATGGAACCTCAGTTTCCCTTAGCTAAGAAGGAGGAAAATTGTTTCTCCCTTAAAGGGTCCCTGGGAGGATTAAATATGCGTGGTAAACAAATGACACGGTGTTAGCGGCTTACAAAAGCTTGAGAATTGTTAACTTGGGCACAATGAGCTTCAGTTTGGTATCAGGCATTCATACTCAGTGCTTAACACTGGTAAAGTTCTTTGCATGCATTCTTTTATTACCGTAACCCCCTAAGTTACTGCCTTTCTGTAGAAACCGAGGTCAGGATGTGAAACAAAATGTTAGCTTGAGTATATGCTCCTCCCTGACAGTATTGCTTCTGGGACTTCCTAGCGTGAAATTTTTTTTCTTCCCTCACTTTTTTGGGAAAAAAGGATATTTCCCACTGAACTGGGAGAATGAGCCTGAGACCAAAGGCTATTCCATCTTTGTGTCGGTTAGGTAGAGAATAGGCAGAAGTGTATCATGTTTGAAAAACCAGAAGGGAGAGAGACCTGTCCAGCGCTATCAGGAAGGCCTTCTGTAGGCCTTGGAAGGGACCAAGGATTTGTCAAGATCTGGGGGGCAGGGTCCAATGGGGAGTAGAGGAGAAATGACTACCAGTGAGTACATCTAGAGAGAAAGTGTGGGGTGAAGAGGGTCACAGTTGCCTAGGTGAAACTAGAAAGTAGGTAGTCGTGGAATCGGTGCTAGGCTGGATGTGCAGAGGGAAAGTGACGGCCGGAAGCCCTTAAAAGAGTGTAATGGTGTGTCGTCCAGTGGGCTGGGGGGCCAGATTTGAAGAGGTCTGAAAACAAGGGTGTAACCCAGAAAGTTCATGCTCAAATTGATGGGATGCCAAGGGGCTGGCTTGTTCACACCCACCTATTCTTCAGCACACACCATCCCCTGCACATGTGCGCTGTTTGGTCGTTTTTGACAACCTTCCTTCAAATAGCAATTCCAGAAGCCTATAGGTTTTACTTTATAGTATCATGGACCTCAAGAAAATCTATTGAAAACCTCAGAAGAGTACCTACCTTACACAGTGTACATACCTTATAGAATGCATGCATGCTTACAAATTTGTTTCCAGATTTTGGAGCTTTTCACAGAACTCCCCAGAAACCCATCTTCCAAATAAGACCCTAAGCACGGTACCTATGGGTTGTTGGGTGGGGGGGTGGTCATAGTTTACATTTTATTTTCTTGTTCTCTTGAAGGATGGTAGCCCATGAGATTTTAACTATTTCTGATGTCAAACTCAAGATGATTACTCACAGATCCTTGCTCGCTAGCACCAGCAGCTGTACATTTCCTTGACCCTCCCAATTTTAGAATCTGGTTTTTAGAATTGCAGCTGGCATTTCTACTTGGTTTGGTGGAATGAGGATTTTCCCAGTCTCACTGATCTCTGTCTTCACATCTTGGAATCCGTAACCATGTCCTGATTTTCTAAGGAATAGTAAAGAAATAGTAACTGTGTTCTAGGGATTATTGAGTCCCTGTAGAAACTAGCAACCTTCGGGAGAGCCATACTCCACAAACAGGTGACAGTCTTTCTGTTTCCAAAGCCCCCCAAAGAATCTACTTTCACTTTGGCACTGTACTCTCCTTATTAAGGAAGTATTCCTCTCATCTTACACCTAATCCTTAGATCTCTCATGTTCTGCCTGCAGAGAGGGTGAATGTCACAGCCTTCGGTCCCTCAAACCGTCATATATTTTTAATCGTTGCTGGTGGATTATAGGCCTTCAAGCTATAGGATTTATGTTAGAAAACATGCTTTTATTTTTTAAAAAAAGATTTATCTAAGTAATCTCTATATCCAATATGGAGCCCGAATTTATAACCCGGAGATCAAGAGTCAAATGCTCCATCAGATGAATCAGCCTGGTGCCCCAGACAGCCTGCTTTTAATGACATCCATCTCACCTGCTTTGGACAGTTTCGATGAGCCAAGATCAAGATTTAATTATAGACCAGATGATTGGTCTCCTTATTCTGCCATCCCTGAACTTGGAATATCCTGGGGCAGACCCTACTTGGCGACAGATTCTAAACTACACATTGGCTCATGTTTGTAACTTTTCTTCTAAGGTGAAGAGTTCACAGAGGAAGGAATGTCCTAGGAAAATCAGTTAAAAAAAAAACAACTGACACCAGATAGAGTCGTTCAGCCTTGGCCAAAAGTTATTTATTGATCTGAAAGGGAAGAATAGCAGAGGACTTCCCTGTCATCTTACATTTGTGGGGCTCCTGATGAGATAAACTTATTCCCTTCCCCCCACCTCCGGCCTCCCCCATACCCCTGGCCCACTTCCCCTTCTCCCCTGTTATCTAACCTGCCTGATAGACCTAGGCAGGTGCTCCACAGTCTAAATAGAAGCTCAGTCCCTCCCCGAGAGTCCAGGCTTCTGGTGTGATTGACATATTTGTCTGGGAAGTGGGGGAAAGGCCAGAACCCAAGGCTCTTACCCTGTTTCCCACACCCAGTGGGTAATAAGGGTGGGGTCAAAGGGATGACACCAAAGCATTATTAGCAGCCTCTGGCAGATAGAAATAGCAGAGCTGGAGGAGAAAACTGAAAATCAGATGGGTCAGGAAAGCTGGTCCGACAGATGAGGACTCAATCTTGGGAAGATATCGAGCTGGGAGCAACCCAACAGGAAAAGATGGCAGAGAGGCACCACTTACTCTCTCCGGTGAGTTACCCACCAGTGTTCCCAGACCTTAGATTCAGTCCATCCAGCGCCCACCTTTCACCTCTCCACGTTTGAAGAGAGGGCAGGACACTTGGGTGCAGATCCGGCACTCCCTGGGAGCACACAGGTTGGAGAGCATGCTGAGCCACTTTCCATCCTCGTCTGAGTGATATTTATAGAGGGCCCAGTGGCTTGGGGCTGGAAGCCTCCTTGTGACTATGGAGGGGACAGTGCTGCTGGCCCTGTTGAGGGAATTCCCTGTGGGGCTGTCCCTCAGGTTCTCCTCTCGACCCCTCCCCCGCACTGCTCTCACACCTGCTTTGACCCCAAGCAGATCAGATGTGGCGGGGGGTGGGGGTGGGGGGGTCATGTGACAGAGAGATGGCTATAAATAGCTGGGGGTGGGCATGCTGCCCCAGACGCCTTGGGGACAGGCAAGAGGACAGGCTTAAGGAGCTGTATTGGGGGAGGACGGGGGCAAGCAGGCCAAGGCCTGGCCCAGGAAGGGAACATGGAGCCAGCTGGGTCCCTGCGGCATGGGGGCGAACACAACTGGTGGGGTAGTGCTCCCCAGTACCAGTATATGCCCTTTGAACACTGCACCAGCTACGGACTGCCCTCCGAGAATGGGGCCCTTCAGCACAGGCTCCGGAGGGATGCAGGCGCCCGGGCCAACACCCGCCCCACACAGGTAAAGTCCTAAGTGGGGTGGGGGGGGTGGAATCGAGGAGATAGTTGTGTGATGGATTGGGGGAAATTAGGAATTAGGTGAAAAGAGGCAGAAGTCTTAGCCTTTTAACTTAGAAAAGTACATGGAAATGTGTTCAAAATAAGGGCTGAGCTCAGCTAAGCATGCACTTACAGAGAGACCCATGCAGTTTTATATAACCCTGACTAAGAACACCGAATCCTCGGGGGGCACGGCACAGTGCCACATGCTTGACTAGCCCGTGCTTACATAACCTGCATGGAGGGATTTGTGTGGGAGCTCACACCTCTGTGCAAGCTGTCTCTTACACCCTCACCCCTGCGCAGACCCCACCAGATTTCTCCCTCCTGACCCTCAGTAGAACACGCAAAAAGAAACACTTCTGCAGAAAGCAGAAAAAAGGTGCTGGGATAAGTAGAGCAAACTAAATTGCATATGAGTGATCAAAGATACACCGGGGTCCAAATGAGCAGAAGAAATGCAATCAAACTTTTAGGGGGGAAGGTTGATCAAGAAAGAACCTATTAAGTGGTAGGCCCCAGGGAAGGTAGAGGTGTACACTCCCAGCAACAGGAGATTGGGAGCTCTTTGGGGGCGTCCAGGGATAACCCTCCTCAGGAGTGGGAAGTGGTGGGTTGCAGACATCTAGAAAGGGGAAATGGGGGGTACAAGCGAAGGAAGGCTGCTGAGGTTGTCATGGACAGACATGGAGGTGAGGGTCAGTGAGGAAATGTGATTGTGGAGTGTCACAGGATGGATCCTGTCAGGACCGGGAAGCCAGACTTTAAGAAGTGTTTTAGCTAAAGATGGGTCCGGGAGTGATTAGATGTGGGATCTAGACAGGGCGGGGAACTGAGGGGTGGCAGCATTGCAGGTCAAGAGTCTATAGGATTCACCCCTCAGTCCTAGTCAGTCTCCAACATGAGGCGACCTTGGGGATTCAGTAGGGGGTGGGGACAGTCAGGGGAGGCTGGGATGGTGAGTGGAAGGAGTTGGGGGGCGCTTCCTAGGGAAGCTGGAGCCTGCCCTGGCCTTGGAACAATGGATGGGATTGGACAGAAAGACCCCCTGCTCATGGCCCGGGACGAGGGGGCTCCTCTCACCCGTGTTCACTGACCTACCCGGGTGGGGAGAGTGAAAACAACTAAAAGGCACTTTCTGGTGACAGGAAACCAGGCAGACTAGCATGGAGCTTCGTGTTGGAAAGGAATGGTAAATTAATTTCGGAAGTAGAGTTGGCCTGAAAGCAAAGAAGAGGGGTTTGGACTTAAGTTTTTCTCTGTTTAATTTTTATTACGGAAAATGTCAAACTTAAAAATAGACCCGTGTAATGAATCCCCAAGCACCCCTTACCCAACTTCAACAATTATCAGTATTTTGTCGCCATTGTTTCAGCTGTCCTTCCCATGCCCAGCCTCCCCCCTCCATACACCGGTGTTTTTGTTCATGAATCCCAGACACAGCCTCCCCTTCAGACTTGGGTTTCCCTCCCCTCCCCCCGCCCTACTCTGATGCCCTGCTTAGCCCTCTTTTGGCTCTTTTAGGTGTTTCCCAGCCAGGGTTTGGTTTGGAGTCCCCCCTCCCTTATCTCCACCTGCCTGGGGCCAGAGGCAACTGAGACGGCAGGTGGAAGGAGGTGCCCTAAGCTGCATGGGTCGTGTCTGCTCTCGGGGGCCAGGTGGGGCAGGGAGGAACACACTGTCTCCCTCGGTCACTAACCTCACCCCAGAAGATGAAACAGCCGTGAGCCGGGCAGTTAGTGTGCGCCTATCCAGAACTGGGGCGTAAACTCTGCTGCTCATATTGTGAAATCAGATCTCTCCTACCCAGGCTCTCCCAGAACCAGCAACACGGCCTGGCCTGACCCTGGCCCCGGATGACGGAGCCAGTGCAGTGGGGGGAGGGCAGACGGAAAGCAGTGAGAGCCCTTGTTCCCCCTGCCCCAAACACGCGTGCTCTGCACACACTGAGAGCAGAGGGCTACCTGATGGGAGGGGTGCCGCTCTGCCCTCTCCACACTCTGTGAGCACCTAGTTATCCTGCTCTGGGAATTCGCTTACCGGGACTTGTTCCTGTTGGTGTACAGGAGCACAGGGAGGCGAGGTGGATGGGCTTTCTCTGAGCTTGACAGAGCATCTGAGGGGCCTCAAGAAAGGCCACACACACCAAAACGGAGAAACCAAGAGTCACCTGCTCGTCTGTCCTCACGGGTCCACGTCAGGATTCCTAGGAGGGAGGCCCGTGCGGAGAAGGGGGCGACTGGGATAGTTGAGGCAGAGGCTGAAGCACTGTAAGCTGAGCCACATACAAAACACCTATTTGACGCTAATGTCCAGTCTTAGCAGAGTTCCTGTGTCACTACTTCAGACTTTAAAAAGCTGTTTTCCATGTGGGTCTATGTGCTTCCCTCTTGTCTATTCCTTTTACCTCCAGCAAAACAGACATTTCCCATTGTCTCTGTGTCCAGATTTATGGCCATTACAAACAGCAGTTCTCAGACAAAGAGCAGGACCCAGGGATGCCCAAGAAGACGGGCTCCAGTGAGAGCGTGGACAGCAAGGATGAGGATCACTATTCTAAATGTCAAGGTGATGGGGCCTCAGGGCTAAAGGCATCTGGAATGGAAGGAGGTGCAGGGTCTAGGAGAATAACTGGGATGTGCCCGCCCTCCACCCTCCCCACATCCACATGGAAGTCCTCCTCCAAGCAACAAGGAAATGCATCTCTCCCTGTCTGCTCCCACTTTGCCTTGTTCCCGACTCTCCCTCCCTCCCACCCACCCCCAGGAAACAAGAGTTTTGGAAGGCATTCAAGTATCCCATGGGGAATTGGACTGGGGCGCCTTCGGAAGGGGTGGGGCAGCAGCCAGCAGAGAGGCGGAAAGAAGCTTGGTGAATGAGCCATAGAACAAGACCCCCCCACCCCACCCCAGTCCTCGGCTCCAGTCCTCAGTCAGAGCCCAGAGTAGTGACGGGATAGCTGCCCTTCTTTGCCCTTCCCTCTTCCCAGGCTGTGTGCACCGCCTGGGACATGTGGTGAGAAGAAAATTAGGAGAAGACTGGATCTTTCTGGTGCTCCTGGGACTGCTTATGGCTCTGGTTAGCTGGAGCATGGATTATGTCAGTGCCAAAAGCCTTCAGGGTAGGTTTACCGTGGCCCTTCACGCTCAGCCTCTCCCTGCACGGTGGCTGTTTCTCGAGTTCCTACCTAGGACACGTTGGGTGTGTTTTGGGAGGGGGGTGTTGCCCAGAGGAGATCTGGCCCAGGACAAGACCAAACCTGGACCCAGAGCCCTTTCTCCTGCCCCTTCACCTGCTACCACCCAAGCTGACAGTGCCCCTCTAATCGGGTGACCAAATCATCCCCCATTTTCCCAGGACTTTTCTGGTTTGAGCACTGACCACCCTGAGTCCCAGGCACCCCTCAGTCCTGGGCAAACCAGCACAGCCTCTAACAATGTGCCTGCTCAAGTGGGCTTGGCGGCATTGCCGCGGACCCCACCTCCTACGAGAGGTGGGAACTTGAACAGGTCACGTCACCGCTCACAACTCAGGTTCCCCCATGCGCAAGGAGAACAGTACTCTCTCATGAGGTCAAACGGGATTGCCGGAGCATGAGGACGCTCGCGGCACACCGGTGTGCTGCGGCTGTGGGGGAGCAGTGACATCCCTGCCACCCTGGGACTGAGCCCGGGCCCGTGTCTCTGCAGCCTACAAGTGGACCTATTACCAGATGCAGCCCAACCTGCCTTTGCAGTACCTGGTCTGGGTCACCTTCCCACTAACTCTCATCCTCTTCAGTGCCCTCTTCTGCCACCTCATCTCTCCCCAGGCTGTTGGTGAGAATTGCGCCCCCTCCTCCCCATGTCATGTGGTCAGCACAATCTCATTGGCCTGCAGACCTTTCCAGTCCACTTCCGCCCTCTCCCAGCCCTACTGACGGCCCTTTCCCCTGCTCTGCCATCATCCCCCCACCACTGCCTCTCCCCCCCACCCACCCCCATCGCCACGTCCACTGTCTGGACGTTCATCTCCCTTTGAACCTCTAGCTGGAAGTTGCACATAATCATTCTTTGACCCTTGTAGGCTCTGGAATCCCTGAAATGAAAACAATACTCCGTGGGGTCATCCTGAAGGAATATCTCACCCTCAAGGCCTTTGTGGCCAAGGTTGTGGCCCTGACTGCGGGGCTGGGCAGTGGCATTCCTGTAGGGAAGGAGGTAGGTCCACCGATACTCCAGCAGAGGGCAGCACTGAGCCCAGAGGGAGCTCTAGGAGCAGACATGGGGGCCGGCGCGCCAGGAGAGCCAGTGCCAGGGGGCGCCAGGGAGGGGAAATCAATATTCAGGGAGGTCCTAGTCCTGAGGCAGAATGACAGACGCATCTGAGCCGGTAGGGACTTAGAACAGAGTCTCCCAGCCTGGGCACTGTGGACATTTTGGGCTGGATAATTCTTGGTTCCGAGGGGCTGTCCTGTGCATTGCGGGAGGTTTAGCAGCACCCCTGGCCTCTACTCCCTAGATGCCAGTAGTGCCCCCCAGTTTTGACAATCAGAGTATCTCCAGACACTGGCAAATGTCCCCGGCGCTGGGGGTGGTGGGGTGGGGCATGGAGAATCTCCCCCAGTTGAGGACCACTACCATGGAGACACTCCAGACCAATTTCCTTGTTTTAATATGCAGAAGCCCAGACCCAGAGAGGGACTGTGCTTTTCCCAAGGTTCCGCTCCTGTGCATTCTTGCGTCCCTACAGTCGGGATCCGCGTGGCAGCCAGTCTTTTCAAAATGTAATCAGTACTCGCTGACATCTGCTTCGGAACTACCGATGGCTTCCCAGTCTTCTTAAAATAAAATCCCAGCTTCTTCCCGGGGCCTGGGAGACCTGTGCTGATCTGGCTTCTTTCGGTCTGGTCTCCGGTCCTCCCAAGCTGCCCGCCCCCCGTTCACTGTGTTTGGGTGACAAGCTCTTCCCACCCCTCAACCACACAAGCGGTTCCTGTCCCAGGGCTCCCGCACTTGCTGTTCCCTCAGCCCAGAACATTCTTCCTTCTGACACGCACGCGGCTCACAACCTCATTTCAGTGGAGACACTAGTCAATTGTGACGCCAGCGCGCCTTCTCTAGCCCCCCATCGCACCCTCGTCTGTCCTGCCTCCTCCTCCCCTCCCCCTCCCCCATCTTCTCCTCCCGGAGCGTCGCTGAAAGGCTGGTCCGCCCCCTCCCTTCCTCTCGGGCTGCAGTTCCTGAGGGCACACCCTCTGTGCTGCTCACGGCCGTATTTCGGGCCCTAGCTCAGTGCCCGGAGCCATCAGGCTTGTCCGCGGAATGCCACACAGCCTCCCATCTGGGCCCCGGCCCCTGACCCGTCCCCTCCTTCTCTCTCCCAGGGCCCCTTTGTCCACATCGCCAGCATCTGTGCCGCTGTCCTCAGCAGGTTTATGTCGATGTTCTGTGGGGTCTATGAGGTAAGGTTGAGGAAGTAAGACGAGGGAGGGGCTGTGTGTGTTCAGGGTGTCGGGAGGGCTGCCTTGGCGCTGGGCTGGCCGTGATGCTGACGTGGGGCACTGCGCTAACCCACGCTCCCTTATCCTCCACACACATCCCCGACCCACCTACCCCAGCCACACATTGCAGCCGCCGTCCAGGATGCCCCTCCCTTCTTGACCTGCGCCCCTGCTCCGGGCCTGCACCCTGGCCAGTTCCTCTGCTGCCCGCCTGCCTACCCCTGTCCCCTTGTCTTCCTAGCCCAGACCCCACCCCTCATGAGCACTGCTGCCTGCCCCAGCCCTCTACCCTCCTCGTCCTGCGTGCTTCTCTGTTGCAGACCGTGTCTGGGCAGCTTGATCTCCTGGTGTCGGCCTGCGCGGTGGGCGTGGGATGCTGCTTTGCAGCCCCTATCGGAGGCAAGTCCCACCTCCTCCCTACCCCGGTTCCCCGAGCACGACTTGGAAGGGGGTTGGAGTGGCTGCCTAGGCTTTGCGGTGGACAGGATGCTCGGATGCTCGCCAAAGGGACTAGTGGGCGGGCATTCAAGGAGCGACCCGGATCCCAGCCCCTGGTCTGCAGGTGCACGTACTTTTCTACCAGAGGGCTATGTGTTCCTTGGCGGCTGGTGGCTGTTTTATGCAGGCTTTATTGGTACCGTTGGTCTGAAGTCCTTTCTGTTTCTCTTGCCACTAACACTTTGTGCCCGGGGCGTCCCCATCTCCAGCCCCTCTCTGATGATCACTTAGTGGCTGACATACCTTCCACATATTTATCTTTATTTCATTTTCTATGTTTGGCCTTGTGCTATGAGGTCACTTCCTGTTTGCAAACTAACCGAGTGTCTCTTGGCCTGGGAATCACTGGGGGAGAGGGGGCCACTCTGATTCCCTGTGACTTAAGCCTCTCCTTCCGCCTTATTCCCCACCCTTGCTTGTTCTCCGTTCCTCTCTGCCCCACTTCCCTGCCCCTGCCATCTGTCTGTCTGTCTGTCCCCTAGTAGCAGCCATACTATTACACTGACATGCTGACGGTGGGCTGCGCCGTAGGAGTCGGCTGCTGCTTTGGGACGCCACTTGGAGGCAAGTGATTGACCCTCTCCTACATCAGTCCACTGCCCGGGCTGGCTCCCCGGCCAGGTTTTGTCAGCATCCCCAAGTGCGATATTACCTATTAAAACGAAAGTATGACAAGAATAGCAAACTTTTACTGAGCATTTACTATGTGCAAGTGATGTTCTAAGCATCTCTCTACATTCATTCCTGCTAAAAGCCTTATGAGACCCACGGTGCGGAGGAGAGGGAGGAGAGGACTGATTACAGAGAGGGCAAGGGACTCGAGCGAGTGGAAGAGACAGGAATGAAAACCCAGGCAGCCTCCCTGTTCCCCTCCTTGTCATAAATAAAGCCTGTCGATATTGTTGGACATGTTTGCCCTCCACTTACTACTACATCTTCTACCAGGAGACTCTCCGTAGTTTGTTCTCCAAGGGAAAACTTCCATTTGTGCATGTTACCAGGACACGGGGGTGTAGGTGGGCCTTACTTGGACTCATGGTCAGCTTTCACTAGGGCTGCAGATGGGACTTAGAGCCCCATAGCTCCCTGACAGTAACTCAAACCTGAGGTTAGCTCTTTCTGCACGTGGAAGGCAAAGGGTGGATTGTCAGACTGTTATCTTTGTCCTGGAACACTAACAAATGGGTCGGGGCAGAGAAAGCAGTTGTACCTGTTTATTTACAACTCAGTGTGAGCTGTAACGGGATTAACACAGGGGGGGATTACATGGATCATTCATTGGTGATAAAAAGGACATCAAGTTGACAGCTGGGGAAACGAAATTGCAGGTAAAGCCTATGCTTCTTAAACACACCTGCTGTGAGAGGTATCTTTTCAATTATGAGAATGTCATCAGTGCCTTCATAGAGGAGTGTTCAGGTAGCTAACATGACTTGGCTCAGGAACGACGTAGGGATAAGCATTCAGAGTGAATGGAAGTGTGTCCCACTCACTTGTCCTGATGCGGCGTCAGCACACACAGCTCAAGGAGATCATATCAGCTAGCATCCCATCTGCACTTCTGGCCTCAGCTCTTGTCGTTGAAGTCACTAGTCCCCACAGTGAGGTGTGTGTTTGAGTTTCTGTACACGTTAGACGTTACACGCTTACATTTATACCCACTTTCACCTTTACTTACTCTTTTCACCTTACAAATCCAGAAGATCGAAAAAACATTTTTAGACAGGTAGACTTTTTAAATTTTTGTTTTTAATCAGCCAGGTTCTTTTAAAATGAAGAGAATCTGTATTTTTTTTTTCTGTATAAAACTGGAATTTCTAGGATGAACAAGGAAGGTTTCTCTTGGTCCAGTGTAGAACATAGGAAAGATAAGAGAATTATAGATAAAACATGCCTCTTGATGCGAGAAAAGATTCAGGACTGAAAAATTGAGATATTATTTTCAGGATGTTTATATTGAGTACAAGTAATAAATGTCCTGGCAGGTAGCTTTATGTGATTGTTTTTCTTTCTTTTTTTTTTTTTTTTTTATGATCATAGAATAATCCTGAAAGAAAAAAATTAGTAAGGCAATTTATTTGCTATATAGCCAACTCTTAATTCCTTACACTGATGAAAGAAATCTGCTTCAACATTCTGCTAAAATGACAAACATCCTTTTGCTTCCATCATCTGCCCTCTGGATGCTGTGCTGGATCCTGTGTTCCCAGGCACTCGCAGCTGAAAGGGTGGCCGGGCAGACAAACCGATCCTCACAGCCTGCTCAGAGTGTCTCCAGGGCATCTTGAGCAAAGTGCAAGGAAGACTGTGAGGACTGGGGGCTGTAATCACAGTAGATGAGAGAATTGCTAGAGGATGCAGGGGAACTGGAATGAGTCTGCACAGGGAAATGGGGCTGCATCATGAAGGTCCTCAGCGGCCACGCACAAGAATGTAGATTCTGTTCTCCAAGCTAGACTTTGTCCAAATGTGTTTTGCAGAGCACAGTTCTCCATGGTGTTAATAGATGTAACATGTGAAAGGGTCCCAAGGTCAAAAAGTCAGAAAATACTATGTTAAACAGATAGTTTTTTTAAACTGGAAAAGTTATCAGAATGTTGGATATCCTGGCAGGCATCGTGAATATGCAAACTGTGGCTCAAATACAGCATTTCCCACAGAATCCCTTTTGCAAGGAACTTCTCATGAGACTTATAGTGTATCATAGGTGGACTTTGGGAAATGCTATCATGGGTGAAGGGGAGCCACAGAAGAATTCTGACCGAGAAAGTGGCATGACAAGCTGTGCACATTTGTCTAATCCCTTTGGCAAATGTGTGCGGAATAAAACAGGCCTGTGGATTAACAGGATTCATCCAAGATTAACAACAAGACTATTGTCATAGCCCTGATGCTAGATGATGAGAGATGGAACTGGATGGAGGCAGAGGAGAGAGAGAGAAGAGGATGCTATATAAAGGCAATAGGAAGTCAAATTGACAGGACCTGGAGGTTGATTTTATGCGAGGTTATAGATGATGAGAGAGGAAGAGGAATTGGGGCCAGCTCCCAAATTTTATTTCAAAGAAAACTGGATGGACAGCAGTGCTAGTAAGCAAGACAAGGAATATAGGAAGTGAAAGAGGTCTGGAGGAGTTGATCAATTTTACTTTATTTTTTTAAAAAAAGATTTATTTATTTTGGAGAAAGAGAGAGTGGGAGAGTGGGGGGGGGGGGTGAAGGGGCAGAGAGAGAGAGAATCTTCAAGCAGAACTCCCTGCTGAGTGCTGAGCTCCAGCCCTCCACCCATGAGATCATGACCTGAGCTGAAACCAAGAGTCAAGAGTCAGATGCTTAACCGACTGAGCCACCCAGGCACCCCCAGTTTTACTTTAGATATGTTGAGTTTGAAGTTCCTGTGGCATGTCCAAGTGATACCAAATAGGCCACTGGATCCGTGAGTCTGAAGTTCAGGAACCGAGCCGAAAAGATCGCTTTGCTACCCAGTAGCATGGAGGTGGCAGCTGAAGCCATGGGCATAAATGGAATTGAGAAAGTGTGTCTGGGTAGCAAGATCAGGTTCAAGGACAAGGCCCTGGCCTAGGCAGAGGCAAAGGAGCCCGAGTAGGGGAACAGAGAATATTCAGGGTGGCAGGAAAGAACCATACTGCAGAACCTCGGAGACCAGAGAGTTTCCAAAAGCTGTTTGTGTTTGTAAGGCTTTGTTTGCTTTTAGCAGCACATTTTCTGTTTGGCTCAGACTAATATTAAAATCAGTTCTCATTCCTGAGGATACAGTGACAGACTGCTAGGGAAAGCATCCCAGAACCACCTCGTAGGAAAGAAAATCTAGCCTAGGGTTTCAAAAATGGTTGTAAAATATTCATAAGTTGGATAGCTTACACCCCAACAAATCAAAGCTGACTTTGGTTTTATTACTAGTCAGGAAAAGGAGAGAGACTTGCTCCACCTGCTTCCCCACTGTGTCAAATCGTCCTTTTAGCCCAAGGACGCAGCTGCCTCACCTGTTGTGATTTGAGGAGCAGGGGAAGAAGGGGTGGCTGGTAGCTCTCCCTGCCCCCAATTCCCCCGACCCTTGGTCCGTTTTCTGAAATTTCACCCGTTCTGTTCTCTTGTGTTCTCTTTCCTTCTCGTCCTCTCCTCTCCTGTTCATCCACAGAACAGACACTAAGCCCTGATGACGTACCACGCATGGTATTAGGTGGTGGGTTGAGGACCACCCCACACCCCCATCCCCGCCGCTCCTCTCTGCATCTTGTTGGACCACATCTCTAGCCTGCGAACAGTTGCCAGCATGAGCAACTGTATGGGTTAGAGCCTGAGGTTCCAGGAGACCGTTACTTCCCACTACTGCGTCCCTCGTGATCTGGGTCTCAGCAAAAGCACCTCAGGCCCGCAGGGGGGACTGTGGGGGGGAGCCTCTGGCTTTTGTCTGCACCTGACCACCTCCGCGCCCCCGCAGGAGTGCTGTTCAGCATCGAGGTCACCTCTACCTACTTTGCTGTGCGGAACTACTGGCGAGGTTTCTTTGCGGCCACGTTCAGCGCCTTCGTTTTCCGCGTGCTGGCCGTGTGGAACAAGGATGCGGGTAACGGGCGGCCGGGGGTGGAGGCTGGAACCGGGGCGTGCAGGGAAGCTCCTTGGGGCAGTTTAGAAAAGGAATGGATGGCGTTATTTGGGAAGAGGGCCCAAGACCCAAGGATATAGGGCAAAGATCTAGGTCATGGTGTAGGAGGGCAGTGTTCAAGCATAAACCCTGGGAACTCAGTGGAAGAAGAGCCGGCGGCCCGGGAGGGAGGAAGGAGCTGACCCGCGGCTGATGGCTTCCGCTTCCCCCCGGGTTTCTGTGGCGCTCCCACCGTGATGCCTGGCCCTTCCACCCCACAGTCACCATCACTGCTCTGTTCAGAACCAATTTCCGAATGGATTTCCCCTTTGACCTGCAGGAGCTCCCAGCCTTCGCCATCATCGGGTCAGTGGGGTCGGCTGCTCGGGGGCGGGGTGCGGCTTCGGCGGAAGGGGCCCCAGCTGGAAGAAGGTGGGGCCAAAGTGGATAAGCGTGAATCGCTGCGGGCAGGAGGGCGGAAAGGGAGGGCGGCCGCCTGCTGTTCGTCCCGCCGCGGGCAGGGCCAGGAGGAGGGGTCCATGGCTGTACAACTCCCGCCCTCAGGATTTGCTGTGGCTTCCTGGGAGCGGTATTTGTGTACCTGCATCGCCAAGTCATGCTCGGTGTCCGAAAGAACAAGGCCCTCAGCCGGTTTCTGGCGAAGCAGTGAGTCACTGCCCTTCTGTGTCCCACCCGGGTCCTTTCTGCTCTCTCCACGAGCCCCTCCCTTTTAATCTTTGTCAAAGGCCGTCCTTGCCTTTAGGTGGCTTGCGGTGAAATACAGAAGCCCGGATACTCCGTAGGGAGCGAGCGGCGTGGTCTGCCCCTCAAAGGTTGCGCGTTGGTGGCAAGAACGTTCTGTGTTTAAAGAGCTGAGGCTGCAGCGGGCTACCGGGGCCCAGCTCCCAGCTCAGTGTGGCGTCCACGGGGCTAACTTGCGGGGTTCCGATCTGTTTCTTTCTCAGCCGCCTGCTGTATCCTGGAATAGTCACCTTTGTCATCGCCTCATTCACCTTTCCGCCAGGAATGGGTCAATTCATGGCTGGAGAGGTCAGCTCCAAGGAGTCTGGGGGGCGGTCGGGTCACTGAGCACATGACAGGGACTCAGCCAGGGCCGGGCCACAGCGCAGACATCCCTCAGGCTTCTGAGCGCTTTTAAGCTGGAGGGTAGAACCTCTCCCCGAGAGAAGAGCAAGAGAGCCCCTTGAACAATGAGACTGGTAGAGCAGTTCTGTACAAAGCCCTAGTACCCGACCTCCTTGGAGACCTGCCGCCTTCTGCTTCCTCCCCTCACAGTTGATGCCTCGTGAAGCCATCAGTACCCTGTTTGACAACAACACGTGGGTAAAGCATGTGGGTGACCCTGAAAGCCTGGGCCGGTCGGCTGTGTGGATCCACCCACAGGTCAACGTGGTCATCATCATCTTCCTCTTCTTTATCATGAAGGTACTCCTCGTGCACTCCTGACCCCTTAAGCTTCTGTCTGTTTTCAACCTGGAACACACAGTTTGCATAGGGTAGGAGAGGGTACAACTTCAACGGGGCTTTGTCCAGCCTAAAGAGAAATAGCTGTGAAACCATAGCCTAGGTAAGTTGCTCACCTATAGAAGTGAGCCAATATCTGGGTTAATTGCTCCCTTCATGTCAACTTAGCAATGTTGCCATAATTACCATAAGCCTGCTAAAGGTTCCACTTGCTAAATGATTAAGACATCACAGCAGCCTAGTAAATGAGGACGAGACAGGGTTGAGCAATACAGATAACTGTGTAAACATCTGACTTAAATTAACCAAATCCCCCTCACATATTAGATAATTAGGTACTTCATTCTCCTGTATCCAATTATCCATCTTTAGATGATTTGCATATCCATTTTTCCCCACCTAGTGGGTAATCTCTTTTCTAAAACTGCCAAAGAGATTAAATATTTAACTCAATTTTATTAGTGACTATAATTTTTTAAGGCTTTATTTAGAGAGAGAAAGCACGTGTGCATGAGCTCAGGGATGGAGAGGGAGAAGGAGAGAGAGAATCTTAAGCAGACTCCCTGCCGAGCATGGAGGCTGACATGGGACTTGATCCCACGACCCTGAGATCATGACCTGAGGCAAAATCAAGAATCAGACGTTTAACCGACTGGGCCACCCAGGCGCCCCTATAAGTAATTTTTTTTTTTTAATGATTTTACTTATTTATTTGACAGAGAGAGATACAGCGAGAGAGGGAACACAAGCAGGGGGAGTGGGAGAGGGAGAAGCAGGCCTCCCGCTGAGCAAGGAGCCCGATGTGGGGCTCGATCCCAGGACCCTAGGATCATGACCTGAGCCGAAGGCAGACGCCTAACGACTGAGCCACCCAGGCGCCCCACCCTATAAGTAATTTTTGTACATGTTATTATTCCCTCTTTTGGTGGTGAGGCCATGAGGATTTTCCCACTCTCAAGTCATTTTCTCCTCATTTCAATTAGGAGGCCAAAGCTGGCCTCTTCCATGTCTGTCCATCAAGGACCACGTCTTCATTGGCTTCTCAGTCACTGCTTTATACAAAGACTTTTTTTTTCTACCACCCCCGGTTGTGACATCTATTACAATTGCTGCTTCCCCTCTCCTTTTTTTTTCTTTTTCAGTGACTGCGTTATTACGAATGGTATGTCTTGCCTGAATGATCCAACATTTTCCTCTGTATATTAGGGTTCTCATTCAAAAGTCTGTCCACACTGAACTTTCATGCTTTTGAATACCTTGCTATTCACTTATTCATGATACATTTTGTGAATCTATATTTTCCCAGGATATGAGTCACTAAGTTATATTTACAATATGATAGCTGTTATGGGTTCATTTATTCCATAAATGTTATTACACACCTACCGTGTGCCAAATAGATAATATTTGATTGTTGAACTTTGGCAAATCTCAGGCTTATGGTTGAAAAGTTGTCTTTTTTTTTTTAAGATTTTATTTATTTATTTATTTATT